TTTATGTTATAAATTAGAATTTAATACCTCAAAGTTAGAATTTAGAAATTGTTAAAGTATAAATTATAACTAATTATCTTATAGAATTTTATTATTATTATGTTAGAACTCATTAATTATTATGTTATATAACATAATATTAATTATCTCTAATAAAATACTAATGAGTGATGCTATTAAAAATTGTAGTTCTCTTTTTTTCTTAAATCCGCTCATTTTCAACTCGGTAATAAATTTTAAAATACAAAATAATATTTTGACTTAAATTTGAATTTCATAAATACCAATTTAAATAACAAATTGAACGAAAAATATCAGATTTTGTTAGAGTAATTAATTGAGACCGATTAATTCAATATGATTTGACTGAATTTTATGACAAGAGATTGTTTGACACTTTTCTCAGAGTTATATGATTCGTGTGAATATTATAGTAGGAAAAACGTTCTAACAAAATAGTAATAAATTCTAATTTATAATAGTAATAATCTATACCATAATAATTTCTAATTTCTAACATAGTAGTACTAAATATTATTTCATAAGACTATCAATTCTAAACTATATCATAATAATATCCAACTTCTAACATAATAGTAATAAATTATGATTTATAACATAATCAGTTTTAATATGTAATACAATAATTTATAGCCTCTAACAAAATAGCAATAAATTCTAATTCATAAGACAATAAATTCTAATCTATAATACAATAATTTCTAACTTCTAACATATTAGTAATAAATTCTAAGATAATCAATTCTAATATATAACATAATAATTTATACTAATATATTTTTTTCAAACAAGTATCATTTCTGATTTATAATAATATAACTTATACTAATTATACTAATATCATTTTTTAAAATGTATTTGTTGTTAGTTCATTTTATCCTCAACAAGTGCATAACAAACATAACCCGAAATTAGGGTTTAGGATTTAGGGTTGAGGGTTTAGGGTTTAGGGGTTTAGGGTTTAGGGGTTAGGGTTTAGGGTTTAGGGGGATTAGGGTTTAGGGTATATTATATTTGTGATTGATGGAATTCATTATGTTATTGATATATTATGATAATCGGCCGTGTTTACACGTTAATTTCGAGTTATGTTTGTTATGCACTTGTTGAGGATAAAATAAACTAACAACATATACAGTTAAAAAAATGATATTAGCAATTATTACTTGTTTGAAAAAATATATTAGTATAAATTATTATGTTATATATTAGAATTGATTATCTTATAAATTAAATTTTTTATTACTAATATTTTAGAGGTTAGAAATTATTGTATTATAGATTAGAATTGATTATGTTATAAATTAGAATTTATTACTATTATGTTAGAAGTTGGAAATTGTTATGGTATATTATGTTTGTGATTGATGACATTCATTATATTATTGATATATTGTGATATTAGCTGTGTTTATATTAGTATAATTAGTATAAGTTATATTATTTTAAATTAGAGTCTAGTTTGGAAAAAAATTTATACTAATACAAATTATTATGTTATATATTAGAATTGATTATCTTATAAATTAGAATTTATTTATAATATGTTAGAGGTTAGAAATTATTGTATTATAGATTAGAATTGATTGTCTTATGAATTAAAATTTATTGCTATTTTGTTAGAGGTTAGAAATTATTGTATTATAGATTAAAACTGATTATGTTATAAATTATAATTTATTACTATTATGTTAGAAGTTGGATATTATTATGATATAGTTTAGAATTGATAGTTTTATGAAATAATATTTATAATAATATAACTTAGAAAAGTGTCAAACAATCTCTTGTCATAAAATTCGGTCAAATCATACTTAATTAATCGGTCTCAATGAATTGCTCTAACAGAATCCGATTTTTTTCGTTCAATTTGTTATTTAAATTGGTATTTATGAATTTCAAATTTAAGTCAAAATATTATTTTGTATTTTAAAATCTATTATCGAGTTGAAAAGGAGCGGATTTAAGAAAAAAAAGAGAAATACAATTTTTAATAGCATCACTCATTATTATTTTATTAGAGATAATTAGTATTATGTTATATAACATAATAATTTATGAGTTTTAACATAATAATAATAAAATTCTATAAAATAATTAGTTATAATTTATACTTTAACAATTTTTAAATTCTAACTATGAGATATTAAATTCTAATTTATAATAAATCTAAATTCTAATATAATTTATATAATTAAAAATTTTGATAAAAAAAATGGCCGGCCGGTCGGCAAAACCGGCCGTGCATGGGCTGACCAACCGGCAAAACCGGCCGTGCATGGGCCGGCCAACCGGCAAAACCGGCCGTGCAAGGACCGGCCAACAGGCAAAAAGAAGGCCGGCACGGCTACGGCCGACATTCGAGGCCGGCCGGCCCAAAAAAAAAATTATTTTTGGCCGGTTTGACCGGTCGGCCGCCGCATGACCGGTCTTGTTGGAAAACATTTTTTCGCCGGAATTATTCAGAGGTGTTTTCGAAATTTTTCGAGGCTCGGTTTGGCCGGTAAATAGTTCTAAAGAGGGACATCTCTTCTTTTTTTTTTTTTTTTTAAAAAAAAAAGGAATAAAGGGCAAATTAGTCTTTTAGGGGGCGGTAAATATCGAAAAGAGGACGGTGTTTAGCGTTTCACTATATATATGGGTTGGTCAAATAAAAACTAGTACGAGTGTGAGAACCCTGAGAACTATATTTGATATTATTTTTAATACTAGATGATGCTATCGTTTTCACAAATGCTAGTATAAATTGTGTTGCTATTATTTATAAAATTCATCTTAGTAAAAACATCAAGTACAATCAATCATAGCACTACAAACAATTAATTGAGATAGGAACTCATTTGGCGTAGTATCACTCAATATTTACTTCATGTTTTATTAAAATTTTGTAAATACTTCTTGAAATTATATTTTTATTTTTATTTAAAATGGAACATATGGTTTGTTCATCATATATTATCGTAATTTTTATAATACAATATACTTGATGAGTAAATATATTTAATAAATAATATTTTTTATTTTTTCAAGTAGATTGATTAAATTATTTAAATTTTTTTATAAATATGATATTGTAATATATGGTTGATGTTAAATCAAAAATAGTTAAAAGATCATTATTCAATATATTAATAAATAAAGTTATAAATAAACTATTTTATAATTGAAAGTTATAAAATCGTGCGGATAAAAATAATAAACAACACACTATCAGAACCCTTCCTAGCCGCCTACCTACTTTCAGAATCTCGCTCATCTCTCTGCCCAGATCGACGGTCTACCGGACAAATCCCTTTCGCCGGAATTTTGTACGGACCGCAGTCCGTCACTGGTGGTCACCGGAATCCCGCACGGCCGCACCTTTTCTCTGTCTACAAGTTGCAGCTCATAAAGTCTCCAATCCGAATTCAGGTATTGATGTCTAGATGCTTGGCTCTTTTTTGTCGTACACTGAGAAATTGAAATTCGATTTTGTAATCAAGATCTATGTAAATTCCCAAGGTTTCATGTATAGCTATTTTTTTTTATTTTTTTTTTAATTAGTTTTTGGCGTTGGTGTTTCTATTGGTCAGGGAAGTTGATAGGGTTCTGAGAACTGAACGCGAATCTGTTTTTTTTTTTTTTTTTTTTTTT